TCTCTCTCTCTCTCTCTCTCTCTCTCTCTCTCTCTCCTTAAAGTGTGTTTTTCAGTGATCAGAGTCCGAGTACTTATGTCTTATATAAACTGTAAATATATGAATAATAGAGCGCTTTCATCCATCCCTGTGCTGATCACACAAGAAATTTATAGATATTTTTTCTAACTTTTAACGTCAACAACACTCCAGAAGATAAGACACCACAGTATCCATACTTAAACCAATGGCTAGTGTATGCCATGTATTCAATGAGTGCCATATTTTGACGGAGAGAGAGAGAGAGAGAGAGAGAGAACAAGGAGGGGAGAGATCTTATCGCACATATTCTCCATATATAGATAGAGATAATATACATGTATATAAATATAGAAGTATTTGTTTGAATAGATTTGTTAATTTAATTTTATTGGCCTATAATTGGTGAACAAATTGGATACCAATAGACAAAAACCGATCGCAAACCACAGATTCAGTTCACACCGTATTTCTAATCGCATTCATGCGAATGGTTTCGTTAGTTATATATTGTGGACAACAAAAAGTGTAGTTTATTTAATAAATTCAATTTAGTTGTTGTATATAAAAGACATTTCATTCCTATAATAAATACAAAACATCAATAATTGACAAGAAGTATGGTTTGCTATGAGAAAGTAGCGCTTATATTGGCGCTAAGTTTCTGTTTAGGTATGTATATTATTTCTAATTTACATTATGCATTATTTCTAACGAATTTTAATCTAATTTATATTTCAAATTAAATATTTATAACTCAATCTTCAATGAATTTTAAAATTAATTCTATTACTGATAAAGTTTTGTGCATAATTTAATAAACTAATTATATAAAGTTAGTCTAAACTTTTGCTTGATTAGTTTATTATTAAATTAATCTCAACGATAAAAAAAAGGTTAAAAGTAGTGTTCAAAATGAATATTCTTGTTGAAATTCTGTTTTCAAAATATAATTAGATTTTGTTATTTATAATTAGTATAAAGTTTAATACAAGAGTTAGTTTTGAAAATTTAAAACAAAACTTATCAATATATTTGATTTAAAATGTTTTAATCAAAGCTATAATTTTAAATGTAATGTCAAAAAGTAAATTTAATTATAATTATAAGTTATAAGTATAACTATAGTTTTAGTCGAAAGCTTTTACAGAAAATTACTGTTTGGCACAAATTGAATAGCAATTATAACCTTGACTTTAGTATTTCAAGAATAATATCATTCAATAGTATTATCTTTTCAAAGAATATCAATGAACTGACAATCCTTCCCTCTCATATATAATAGTGTCATTC